CACTACGCAGTATAGAATACCCTCTTTTATCTTTTATTATTTTCCATATGCCTCTTCAGCGAAAGTCCAGTTTGCTACCTCTCATCCAACATCAACTAGCCAGTCCTTTATACAGAAGTCACATCTATCTCTTCAGCCTCTCTCAGGTCTTAGGGTATCTCAACTCCATGAAGGTTAACTTTGGTTTTTTCCCCCCTTCTCCATTCTTCCTTCCTCTAGACAAGTGGCCTCAAAAGTGGTGTGGGTGCAGCTCAGAGGAAGTGCAAAAGGATCCACTGGGCTGCAGGAAAAAATTTATTAGAACTCTTGTTATATTTATTTTTTCATCTCATCCTTTCTTAAATTGTTTCTGTGTACATTTCTAAGTTACCCATTAGTACAGTAATAAAGATACATAAATTCCTGGAGTACGTGATCACGAGTCTGGAGACAACTGTTTTAAAAATACATTTTATCATTTTAAAAATGATAATGAGGACAAAGTAATAGGTTCCAGACCATATAGAGGATGTAAGTATGTATGTGTGTATGTGTGTGTGTATGTATATATATATATATATATATATGCACACCTGGTAGGAAGAAAAACTCTTGTTTGTATCCAAAGTCCTAAAGATACCCACCAACCTCTAGCCCCTGCCAGCCATCTCAGAAATGTGTCCTACTCAAAAGAGCAGAACAGAGGATGGTTTGGCAAAGCCCTTCATTTCCAGTTTGAAAAAAAAAAAGAAATTCAAAGTGCTAAGATACTACCCTTACCTTTCCCGTAGAAGGGTATTTCAGGACACTGTTCACTACCCTGACACTGCTCATTGCCTGATTTATACGTATATACTTCAAAGGCCACTACCTGCTGAGATTCAGTTCCTATTTCCCAATCCCTCGAGGCACAACTCATGCTCCCTTCGCTAACGACCGATTTCTACTAACACCTGGACTGAGCTCACACCTCCCTTCATCCTTCTCTCCCCTGAGGACACTATCCACCGTCTTCCCCGAGCCCCACAGTCGCGTCCCAGTGCAGAAGACAGTCCATCCAAGGTCCCTAAGACCACTTCTCTTTTCTCCTCCGCCCCCGGGAGCTGCCAGCCAGGCTGGAGACGGGAGGGGGGAGGGGTGTGACTCGCCTCCCGTGACTGGCCCAGATGGCAGCAGATTCCGCCCCCACTCTTGGGCCCCCCTCCCCCCCTCGACCCCCTAGAGCTGCCTGTCTGCCTCCCACCCCGCCCCAACCCCACCTCCGGCCTCCCCCACGCCCTCACGCCGGCTCCCGGACACACTCACCGTGC